AATCTTTATTGTCATGTTGAATTAGGTGGATGTGGCATGTGCTCCCTTTTGGGCGTGCAAAAACATCAAACTTTGGAATTGTTTCCCATCCCTAATCTTTCTCTTAATTGATACAAGATCGGATTAAGACAATGGATGGGCAATGAGGTGGCTTATCTGGTTACCCATCTTGAATAAGGCAAGCAAATGCAAGGTTAATCGGATGATTGTATAAAAATAGATAAACAACCTTTTACATGTAATGCATATGAGACAGATATAGAATAAAAACTGAGACTCAGTCCGGATGTAATCTATTATATATTAAAAATCTCATATTTATTTATACATATATATATATTTATAATTCTTTTTTTTTCAAATTCCTTCCATTTCTTATATGGAGAATATGGCATTGTTATCCGGAATAATTAGACGTAAAACATTTATAGGTTACTTTTCAAGTGCATCATCAAATCTCAAAAGCTCAACCCTGTACAGGTGGTGAAAAAGTACTGTAGGGGATACATACATATATATATATATATGTATATGTATGTAAACTTATGGTTCTTTATTTTTCAAGTTACTTCCTTTTATCCTTTTTGAGATTAGCTAGTCAGTGTAAGTAATTTCATCAGAACACAGCAGGTAAAATTTTCTACCATTTTTAAATAACATTTCTGCAGCAATTTTAAATGTTAAAACCAATTTAAAATTATCACCAACTCCTTAATTGCTTACATTAAAAATTAGACTTTGGAGTAACAATTGGTAATGGTGTCAAGTCCCTTAATTGTTTAGAACAAATATCAGTTATGGCAACCCAATTAAGTGAAGGTCAATAATCCATTAGGCCTCTTTTATTTGATGATAATCATTATAATTACCAGAAAAATAGAATGATGATATTTATATGTGGATTGCAAATATGATCTATATAAACTACTTGTAAATAAATCTCAAAAGTAATGGTGATTTTCTCATTTCTATATTATCTAGTATCACAAATGATAATTCCCATCTTGTCGTACGTAAAATAACAGTCACCTCCACTGTGCTCAGCAAGCACCGATAAACAAATGCAGGCGAGCATGTCTCTCAGAATCTTCCTTAGCCATGTCCGCACTCCTCCCTTACTGTCGCCAGACATTGTCAGTAACGGCAGTGACAAACGATTCCGTACCGAAATCAAAGCAGAGAAGCAGGAAGTCAGGGTGTGCACCAACCGTACATGTCGTCGACAAGGCTCTATACAGATCCTCGACGCACTGTCTGGACTGGCGCCACCAGAAGTGGTAGTGAAGTCGTGTGGTTGCCTCGGCCGCTGCGGCGCCGGTCCCAACCTCGTGGTACTTCCCGGGGGCAAGATCTTCGGCTACTGTGCTACGGCGGCTCGAGCGGCCGAGGTGATGCTTGGCTTGTGCTCCCGAGGTTGTGATGCTGGTGCCATCAGCAAGGCTCTCGAAGGGCTGGCCTTGACTCAGAGAGTTCGGTCTGAGCTGGAGAATGGCAATTTCTCGCAGGCCGAGCTAGTTCTCTCCCAGGTTTACCAAATCACAGTTTATTTAGTCTAGTTATTTTAGATTGAAGTTAAGAGTTAGTAAAAAAATCATTTTAGGCTTTGTTAGAAGCTTTATTTCTGGAATTCATTTGAAAATACTTAACTACAAGGATGGGAATTTCTTAGAAAATTAGTTTGTACATTTTGTAAGGAATTTTGATTGACTAAATGTGCATGTTTTTTAAACTGAATTTCTTCGTTTCTTCCGAACATAACCTACTTTTTTGTTATAACATTTGAAATACCAATATATTCTGATAAGTTGTTTCTTTCGTTATAATTCTCAACCATTAAAGCATCTATCTTATTTTAAGAATTAGTAAAATAAGTTAAGATTAATTTAAGACTAAACTAATAGTCATTCCTTGATTTATTACTTTTTTCTGTTTATTGGGAGAAGGGTTCTTATGAGTTCACTGCTTGTTAATTGTTATTGCTGCAGGCTATTGATTTAGAACCACTTGGGGGCATCCATGTTATGTACAGATACAGGTTTGCGGTTTCTGTTTATCCAAGAATTAGTCTACAATTATTTTCAGCAGTTCCTTTATGTCTGCATATGTTTATTTTGCGGACCTCCTGCAATTAGGTCCTACTACTCATAATGTTTTGTGTAAGAATTATTTATTAAGCTTCTTCATACTTTCAGATCTCTTGCAAGATTATCGATGGGAAACCTTTCTGGGGCTCTTGAGGATGCCACACAAGCTTTGACATTAGCACCCAACTACGCTGAGGTGAGGTTTATATGCTGTTTTAATTTTTGGGCTCTATATATTACACTGCATGTGCTCAATTTGTTCTTAGCATGCGAACCTACAGATTATAACTGTTCACCTGTTATATTAAAGCAATCCAGTATCTCTATACCTCTCTTCTCCTGCACTACTACAAAGGAAAAGAATATTCTGAAGAAGCTTTGGATCATCTTATCATCAGAACTAAGCAAAAGGGATTTGAATGATCTTACTGCTCTAGGTGCAATTTAACAAAATAACACGCATACCAACCCTGAAATTGTTGAATTCACGTACCTGAGTTAAGTTGAGCATGGCAATGGAATTATAAATGTTAAATTCCAGTATGCTGCCTGTCACTTCCTCTGTGGTGATTATAAAATATAATTGGATACTTCCTCATAAAGTTATCTCAACCTTGTTGCGTCCACATTTCATGACAATATATTTTCTGCTTTCAAAATTTCAGGCTTACATATGCCAAGGTGATGCTTTCTTGGCAATGGCCCACTATGACTTGGCTGAAAAATCATATTCAATATGTCTACAAGTAGATCCTTCTCTTCGTCGTTCAAAATCATTCAAGGTATTAATTGATTTCTAAATTGTATGCTGAGTTTGAAAAGGTTTGTTTTTTTGCTTAAATTTTTTACGACTTACTGCATCACCAAGTCAGACTTTCACCTAAAAAAGGAACTAATGAAAAAGGAAACAATCCTTTTTCTCTTTTATCATTTGATACCATTTATTCTCTCTCTCTCTCTCTTCCCTGTTGGGAGGTTGGAGCACAGGTGCCTGAATCTCTGCACTTCCGAATTGTGGTACCATGTATGGATATGAAATATGTAACTGCTAATTTTGGGTTCTAAGGGGAGTAGGCTTAGTAATTGGTACATTATTTTGGTCTGAAGCTCAATTGGACTATTTATCAGGTCTGGTACTTGATCCAGCAGTAATTTTGAGTTTGTACATACATATTGGTTCAAGAATAATAAAGTTTCATAAATAGAAAAAAGAATAAGCACTAGAAATATATTGCATTCTTTAATAGCAAAAAGATTTTAAAACACAGACATTTGAATGCACGACAACTTCGAGAAAGAACCAATACATTGCAATTCCTAGATGATATGGACCGATTGCATTCTAGATAACTATCCAAGAAAGATACCCTAACTGGAGATTGGAAACTTCTGATATATATTCAAGTTCTTTCTAATATCAATTCTTAGAAACTTCATTTTTCTCTTTAAAATCTCTACTTTTGGTTTATCGCCTGATTTATTAAACTAAGATGTGATTCTACTCGCATTACTGCATAGGCTTTAGGATGTTGAAGGCTTTTCTCTTCCTGCCTCTTGGTAAACTGCCTCATTTCTTGTGAATCCACTAATCCTACTAGTTGGCTGTTCTAGCTTCTTTAATTTCTCTTCTGAAATTCGGTGGTGCTAAATCTTACATAGAGAAACCCTTCCAGTATTGAGGTATAAATTTTTTATATCTTCTCTTATGCTATATTTACAGGCTCGCATTGCGAAGCTTCAGGAGAAACTTGCTGCAGTAGACAGGCCTTAAGGTTTGCAGCATGGCTGAAACAACACTGACTTAAATATTGATCAATAACATGAATTAGATTATGGTGTCTCTGCTGTTTGAAGGTCTGACTTTTCTTCCCCGTTTAATAGCATTGGACCCTGGTAGACTCTTCTCTGCATCTTAAGATTTAGATAAGTACGTTAAATTTCTTTCTGAAATTCTTGGGTAGTGCAAGGTTTTATATCATGATGCTCCTGTTTTCTAACATATTAGTTGGCCATGCTAATTTATTGAGAGACTGACACCCAATACTGTATTGTAAATTTTCTCTGTATTCTATTAGATTTTGTTACAAATTAGGTCAGTCATACCTCATTATTTACAAGCATTCTTCTCGGTTGAGTGTTATTTTATATAGATTTGTTATATGTCCAGGCATTAACGATTCTGATCATTTAACCAATTGAGTCTACAAAAGAGGGACCCATGGGAAATTTAAAGCAGAGAAAAACTTGCAGATTTAGCCGAGTCCAGTAGTGGCTTCTGGTTAGGGTTCTTGATAAATCCAGGAGTAATGGGATGAGGTGAGGTTAGCCGAAGTATTGGGATGTACAGTGGTGGAATTGCCTATCAAGTATCTTGGGCTTCCATTGGGAGCCAAATTCAAGGAATCACGAACCCGGGACCTGGTTGTTGAACTGTTTGAGAGGAGACTTGCAGGGTGGAAGAGACACTATCTATCTAAGAGGGGTCGACTTACATTGATTAAAAGAACATTGACTAATTTACCTATTTATTTCCTCTCCGTACTAACCTTCCAACTAAAATTGCCAAGAAAATTGAAATGATCCAATGCCGGTTCCTTTGGGGTGATGAGGAGGATAAACGTAGATACCACTTGGTGAGATGGGAGGATATAAGGGTTTGGGATTAGGATCGGTGGTACAAATGAATAATGCATTACATGGCAAATGTTTGGGGAGGTACAATAGTGAAGGAAATTGTCTATGGAAGAGGGTTGTGGAGATTAGATGGCGTGTGGGGAATGTGGGAGATGGAAACAATGGTGTTGTCAGACCTTATGGTAGAAGCCTGTGGAAGAAAATTGTAATGGAAAGACAAAACTTTCTAAATTGCACAAGATGGAGTGTTGGGAAAGGTGATAAGATTCGGTTTTGGGAGGAGGTTTGGTGTGGTGATGTCAAACTAAAGGACAGATTTCCTAGAATCTTTGCCGTTGCTCAGAATAAAAACATGTTTGTGGAGGAAGCAAATTTGGTTAATAGGGGGGAGAGAGTATGGGATGTGCAAGTCACAAAGAACTTAAATGACTAGGAAGTAGATGAATATCAACAACTGCTGTTTTATGTGTCTAACGTTAACTTGGGAAACCAGCCAGATCAAAGGTTTTGGAAGCTTGAAAAAAATGGTTTTTTTTTCAAGTTAAATCTTTCTACAGGCAACTCAGTAATGAGGTGAATAATGGCCCTTCTGCCCTCCCATTTAAACAGATTTGGAAGATAAATGTTCCACGAAGAATGGCATTCTTAACATGGGAAGCTTGCAAGGGTAGCATTTTGACAATTGACATACTGATGAGAAGGGGTTGGTGTATGGTAAACCGTTGTTTTTTGTGCAAATCAAGTGCAGAATCATGCAACCATCTTTTACTGTGGTGCCCAATGGTGTATAGTTTATGGACCATGATCTACGGGCTGTTCGGGATACAGTGGGTAATAGCGGGATCTGTGAAAGTTGAACTATGGGCTTGGGCGGGGCTGTGCAAAAAGAAGAAACACTTATCTCTAATTCCTAGTTCTATTTTTTGGGTGGTGTGGAAATAAAGGAATGCAAGAATTTTTGAGAGGATTGAAATTTTTTTTGTTAACATTAAGAATAGATGGTTTTATACTTTTGAGCATATGTTTCTTGGTCTTGACATCAAAAGCCTAGAAGATTTTAGGGATGGAATTGACCACCTAATTGAAATATAAATGTGCTGTACATGAGTGGTACCCCTTGGTACCGGTGTTTATATTTACTATACTTTTATTTTTTTAAAAAAGATAACCCAGCAGTAATCGGGTGGATTGGGAGTTCATGTTAGAATTTTCCTTGGTTTGGTTTCTTAATTTTTCTCAAAATTTTACCATTAAGAGTTGATTAGAAACTTAATTATTCATTAGGATTGTAGGATAGCTATCTTTGCATCAATATGATCATCTGATTATTATTGTAAATTCAAACAAATTTTCTAAGAGATCATGAGTTCTCCCAAATGATCCCAACCAAAGGCCACGAAGGCCGCAAGCCTAGCAAGTCAGTGTCCTTCTTGCTGGAGGACTTTGCACTTAAGAGACCTGTCGGTCTCAAAACAGGGGACTAACACAGATCTATTTTGTGAGACTGATGTTATTTAGTTGCCCTAGTTTCATTGTTTTCGCCAATCTCTTCTCTCTCTTTTTTGTTGAGAGACTCCCCTAGCTCTTTTCCTCTTTTTGTTTTCACCTCCATATTCTCTCTATTGGGTTGAGATGCTTTATCTAATTTCAATATTTGTGAAAATTTTTCTGGGTTGCACTGATTGAGAAGATATGGGGTGTGAGTAGTATATATCTGCAAAACTTTGTGGTGTGAGACTTGAAGATGTAGAGGCCCAAAGATCATAGAAAGTGACAATTCTCCATATTAAAGTGGAAGGAAGAATACCTTTTCTTGTTTCCTGTGTGGTTCATGTATGTATTATCAATATTGTAGACTTGAAATAGGAGAAAACTGGGATGAGGAAAAAAAATTTCTGCTTTATTTTTGAGTTAAAATAATGAAAATATGATATATTAAGTTTTCCTGGTCAGCCTTGGGGCAGAGTTTTTGAAGGGAAGGAAGAACATATATTCAAATATTGGCCTAGTTAATTGAATCCTCGCATTAGTTTGTGCATGAGATTTTCGTAAATAATGTGTTACAGTCGATGTATAAAAGAAAATAGAAAGTTTTACAAAGCCGAAGAAGAATCTACAGACTGAAGAGGAACCTGCATACAACACAGAAAATAGGAAACATCATAGAGAGCTGCACTGAACTCTCTTGCTGTCTTGGGCTAATATAGATGTTATTTACTTTGGATTTTCCTAATTTTCAGTTATATAAAGAAGCAGGCTATTTGAGAAAGGTAAATCACTCAATTAAATAGGCTAATCAATAAAGGCTAAAATTATGGTGATTAGATCCTAGGATTAAGAAGTCAGCTGACTCTTCCCTATTTATTTTTACCTAGATTTCAGCCTAAGATCATAGTGATTAGATTCCAGGGTTAGGAAGAAGTCATCTGACTCTTCCCTATTTATTTGTATCCATTCAGCATGGAAATCTTCGGTTAGGAGTCTATTAACTCTGGAGATCAAAGATTCTCTAAGATGGGCCCCAAATCTTAATTCCAATGTATCTCATTCTATGACCAGATTCCAAAAGCCGTACCATAACAAGTTGGTATTAGGTGCTGAATGGAAAATTCAGTGCCTTACAGCAGCAGTTTGAGTTTTCTTCAACTTTGTCATGAGATTT